ATGCCGCCAACACGTAAAAAAAAACCCCGATCACGGCGACCACACTACCTTAGCTACTCATTCATGCACCACTAAACCCCGATGAGAAGATGAACGGCAGTGTCTTCAGCTGACCACTGGAGTCAACGCTAGCACCGATTAACTCAATATACCGCAAAGTCCGGCTGCCACGGCCAAAACACACACATGTACAAACAGCTGGCTGCACCGACACACACACATATGCAGCGTTATTAAAAGCACATAATACATAAAGCGAGGTTACGTTATGTGTAAAGTGGCTCGACTCTGTAGGAGCCAGCTAGCAGGAGGCTAAACTCACTCACTCGTTTTATACAGCCGATTTTCATCACACTAGCGCCCGCCATTTTGTTAGCTCGCAGCCCGGGCGAATGATAATTTCACCGCTCATTTGTAAAAGCTCCTGCGCGGCGAGGAAAGGTTAAATGCGTTTCTGTTGAATGCCACACTGTACATTAACTGGTATTACCGATTACAAATGACGGTAGCCAACGACGACCGGCGATTACAGCGAAAAGCCCCCGCTCCTTTCAGCGGGCGGACGAGCTAACCGGATAGGCCGGAATTACCAATTACGGCCTCTGTAAAGGCCCGGGCCCTGAGAAGAAAAGGCCCAACCCTCTGCGGCCTCTCGGCGAGCATAAAGAAATAAATTAAAATACCACATGCATGCAAAAACAAAGATACACACATAAATGCAAACACAGCTCTGCAAACGGGCGCCCCGGGAGCAAAAATGACCCGCGTACCAGATGTATGCTGCAGGGATGGCCTCTGTCCGCTCCTCGGCTTCCCAGGCCGCCTGGTTCCCCCAGACTCGGGCAGGATTCAGTCGGGAATTTTGTGTTATTTGGGCGGGCCGGAGAGGAGCAGAGAAGGAGGGGTTAGGGGTTGTTTCTGGAGCTCTGCTGAAAGCAAAGCAGGACGTCTGGAGCCAGATCTTGTCATGCTACAGCCCCCCGCTCCTCCAGCTCCGAGGCCGCCGTCAGCACGACACGTCACAGCCCGAGAGCAGCAGGAAAATGCGGAAGGGTTGTGGTGGAAATCACACCGGCAGGCACCAAACAGGCCATAATCTGAGCACCGCGGCTCAGACGGGGGGTGTTCATACGTGCACCGCACTGTTCATTTCTAATTAGCTTGTGCCCCCAAGGTTGGTGTAGCTGGTGATGGGGCTGCTTTCAACCCACCACCACCCTCACAGCAGAGTGTTTGCGGCTGGAGAAGGTGGACAATAAGAGGTGATTAAACTATGACCTCCAGACATCCAACATTTAAACAAACCGCTGTCTCTAAAGAAACTACACAGTGTCAGTGGAGTCAACCCACTCTTTACAACTACGTTAGTTTAAGTAGTCGACATTTCTTGATGTTTAGACATATAAGAAATAAGCTTTTTCATTTTAATTTTTTAATTAAAAAAAAAAAAAAGTTCATTATTGGGGACAAAACAAATGGGCATGTAAAGGTAGTAGTGTTTACAGTAAACGCCCTTCTTTTTGATGCAGGCAGATTTAGAAAGTAAGAAAATATCACACATTTACAAATCAAATGTATTTGTAAGTACAATTTTAAACAGTGGTAGAATTTACTCAAGTACTGTACTTGTGTAAAAAATGTATTTGTACTTGAGTACAAAATTGAATCAAAATTAAAAGTACTTTGCTCTTAAATAAATCACTGTAAAGTCACTCCAGTGTGCGTGGTTTATTCAGATTTCTTACTACATGGCCCTGAGACCTACCAGCACCTGACCATTGTTGGCAGTGCATGGGGAGTTTACAAAATAATATACTACACACAAATTGATCATCAGCCTATAACCCACAATACATTTGTTATATAAAGTAAGACAGCAATCAGACAGCTGAATGCTGCTGCCGGGGTTGTGACAAAGGCAGCATATGACTCCAGTTCCTCACTAAATTAACTTAAAGATTCTGCTACTCGTCCATAAGTATATGAATGGTTTAGGACCAACATACTTATCAGATCTCCTGACCCAGTGGGAACCTTGCAGACCTCTGAGGCCGGCTGGTTCTGATTACTGGCTGCTCCCAGAGTTAAAACTGAGCGTGGAGAATCTGCCTTTAGTTTCTGTGCTGCTCGAATGTGGAACAAAGTGCCAGAAGACTTGAAACTCTGCGGACGACTTTCAAATCCAAGCTAAATAACTACCTGTTTAACATTGCTTTTAATTAATGTAATCTCTTTAATCAAATTAATTTTATTTTATTGTTTTCGTGTTTGATTTGATTGTTTTTATCCTATCATGTTCTTGTGAACTCTGTAAAGCACTTAGATTAAAAGTGCTGTATAAATAATTTTGCTTTGCCTTCTTACATGTTAATGCATCAGTAATAATAATCCAATATTATAACATAATAATTTAACACTCACAGGGACCATTCTACTGTATATTGAGTCCTTTATTTGTGACACTTACATAATTGTGATCAATACAAGTAGCTGATCATTTGTTTTCAACTTAAAGAACATTTTCAGTACAGGACTTTTACTTATACACAGATTGTGTTTAGTTTTTGTGACTTTTTCTCAAATCATTGACAGATTTTACCTTTACAGGCCTGCCAGCGGTATAGTTAGCATAGTTATCCTATTATATGTTCATTTACTTACCAACAAAGCTCTTTATACATTTATGATAAGTGAAAGTTACAGAAACAATTCATTATTAAAGGTAACAGTTGATTTTTAAATGTATTTATTAAGTCTGTGTCACTGATCAAACAAAACAGGATTATTATTTTCATGTCAAGTCATAAAAGTACAAGTCATTTCACTGTAAACTCTATTTGGCAGTCATTTTCAGCAGTTCCTCCTTTTCAATCTCAAAAAGACGCCAGCCCTCCTCGGACGAGAGGTCAGCTGCTCCTCTTCGCTTGTAGAACTCAATAGACTTTGTGTTGTTTTCTGCCACAATGAAGTGCATGCCACTACAGCGAGTCTTCACTGCAGTCTAGGGGAAGAAAAACATAAAACACAAGGACATGAAGTACTGAATGCAGCTGAAATCAAGTTGAATCTGTTAAACTTTAACTGCACATGCAACCATACCTCACTCAGAACCTTCAGGATTTGTGAACCAATGCCAAAACCTGGTGAAACATTAAGTGTACAGAGAGCAGTTAAAACAGTTTGTACACGAGAGAGTGTGTGTGTGTAAAATGCATTGTCTCTGTAACTTATTAACCTTTATTATCATATATATATAACAGCACTTTACCACGAAACTCCTGCATGACATAGAAGTCTTCCAAGTAGAGAAGCTTCCCGATCCAAGGGTCATACGTGAAGTAGTACATGGCAAACGCAATCACAGTGTATCCTAGAAGAAAACGCCACAGGTTAGGGGTTGAATGTAAAGGGTAAACCTTTAACTTCTTAACAAATATGACTCACTCACTTACCTTCAGAGCTCTGCTCCTTTGGGACTTCAGCAACCAGGCAGTGGTAGAAAGGATGGTCCCCAAAGCCGTCTTCAAGTAGATCTACAAGTGGGACATTGCTTTTATAAGAATGTGTGAACATTTTTTAACATCCAGGTAAATAATGTGTATTAAATGCATGTGTATAACAACATAAACTAAAGCACCTTTCTCACTCAGCATGACCTTCTCCTCCATCTCTTCAAATTTAGCAAGTTCCTAAAGGGCAAAAAAAAAAGGCCAGTAAATTATGCTTTTACTACAATCAAGTGGCAGAGATGATAGATTTGCTGTCAAACGTCCTGTTGGTTGTTTCAATATTAGGCTTTAACATTTGGCTTACCTTTATGAGTCGCAGGATATCGGACACGTCGTTGGGTTCAGCTTTCCGTAATATAAAACTGGCCATTTTCTCTTTTTACTCTTTTTCCCTTTGCTTACTAATCCTCTGAATGTGAATAAAAGCAAAATTTGTTTCTTCATTCGCTCCTCAGGAGTTCATCCCCCGGCAGTGAACTGAGAAAACCAGTAAATAGCGTTTGCATTGGATGTGTCTGACAGAGTGGTACAGCACCTTGAGTAACTTCCCTTTTATGTATCCCAGGAAGAAGTAAACCTGGTTAATAATTAACATATGGTCACACAGCCCTTAACATCCTGTTTTTTTCTTGTTCTGTCCTTATCTTTGTGTGGATCACTGTACTTCATTTGAATGTTGTTTAAAAAGAAATGATTAACCAGACCTAGAAAAACGCAGTGCAAATAATGTCTGTAGAGCTGAGTAAGGAATAATTAAATAAATAAATAAACAACTTGCGTAATGCAGGGCTCCAATGTCCACTTATTTATTAAGTGACGTTGTAATAATGATTTGCTCACTTTCAGCTCAGCACCTGCCCTCTTTTAGTTAGGATGTGTGTGAATACTCTTATCTGAGTGAAGGATAAGCCCAATGGGAAACAAACATATGCAACATTTAACAATAAACCAGTTGTTCTACAGTAGGTCACTCCTACTCTGCAAACACACAGTCAGTCATTTGCACTGCTAAGATCAGAAAAACTAAATCTTTATTGATCTATATTGATGGTCCCATTTATGTAATATGTAGTTAATGGGTTGTACGTTCAATAAAAATGAGGACGGAAATTTTGGTTATCTATAACCAGGGACAGGCAGCTGATAGATTAACTCTTGATGTGGAAGCTTAGAGGCTGTGATGTGGTGACATCTTTTGGTGTGATTATTAGCCAGGAAAGCATCTTTTAGTCAAATCTTTTGAGACTTAAATACTCCAAATGGCCGGAGATTATCCTGTCACAGAGACTGGATAGAGTTAGTGTATAGTGTTCAGCATCTGTCCTTTAAACAGGCATAATGTTGCTAAATAAATAAATAAATGCTGTTGCATTCGGCTGACTTGCAGAGCAAGAGCAAATTTTCTCCTGCTACAAATAAACCACAAACATGACATACATGCTTCTGCATGCATTATAGTTGCAGTTGCAAGGCCTAAAAAGGCAACCGTGTTATTTTCAAAAAGTTGGGTCATTTGTTATACAAGTGTGCCACAAGTCAGTCATGCATTCTTGTTTGCCCTGTTTTTAAATCAGTGCACATGTACTCCGCATGCAGGATTTATACACTCCAGAACTTTTCTTCAACTTTGCATCAGTTCAGTTTCAGAAAATACAGGACAATACGGTTTTCTCCACAAGCTCTCACACTGATTAAGCTTTCAGTTATTGTTCCAACATGAAAAACATCCCTTAGTACATTAGTAGTAGTGTAGGTATTATTTATGTTGCTTTATTATTTAAGACAACGCAGGGATGTCATGTTGAACAATTCAGTTTCTTCTAGTGATAACAATTTTTATACTTTCTTTTTTATACATATTTGTATGAGCATTGTTGAAGGGTGCCAATTACTGTTTCACTGCTGAACTGACAATATAGAAATTAAACACTTGCTTTCATCTTTCGACTTGACTCTTTGTAATCTTGTTGTTGCTAGTTAGCATCTGGCAGAGTGAATTCACATCAATGACAGCTGCTGCTTCTCACTATGATGCAGACTTTGAAACTGTCTGCACTAAATAAGACAAAAGCTTATATGTTGTCACTAAAGTCAGATGAATTTAAAGACCAGACAGACAGAAATTTTAGGAAAACACATTTTATTTGTACTTTCAGTTAGTGGTGGATTTCACAGACTGGGATGATCAAGATCAGTTCAGTTTATCAAAATATTTCAGCTTGCCTGAAGGGTCGGGAATGATCTGTGGGAGAGAATTCATTAAATTAGTGCACATTAAGTATCACTAAACAGTAGAAATATACTAGAATATGACATAAACCAGTCTGTGACTAATGTTAATCCCTGACAACAAACTAGTCCAGTAGTTTTCTAATTATTGCTTTATTTTCACAATGAACTTATTTTAAAAGCAGAATTTTTTCCCCTAAAATACTAAGACGTGTAATTCCTCAGTGAACATCCCTGATCTCAAGTTTGGACCATGTTGCACATAATGCATCAGAAGTAGCTGCCAGCAATGGCAACTGCTGCAGATGTGCAGAATGTGTGTTTTAAAATGAAAACATGGTAGTGTGGATGTAGCCTCAGACCTCCTGACTGTGAAACTTCATTGTGAAATGTAAATGCTTTTCTTTTCATCTGAGACAGCTTGTCATTTACACAGACAGTGACAATATTTGTTGTTATGCTAGCTGGACACAGACTGATTTGTAAGTACGGTGATACTCACTGTGTCGCTGCCTGGCTTCCATCCTGCTGGACACACTGTAAAGGACATAATTCCAGTCAGCACAAGAAAAACAACTATGAGTGTCCAGGTACAGCTGCACTGTAGCCATGAAAACAATGAATGCATTTCAGCTCTTAATATAAGTGAACTCCAGATGGATATCATGTAATTTCACATGTTGACTTGTTTTAAATGAGCTTCTCGTACCCTCTCCGTGTTTGTCTGTGTATTGAAAGGCCTGCACCAGCCGCAGGGTCTCGTCCACAGATCTTCCCACTGGAAGATCGTTCATGGTGATCTGCCTCAGGATGCCTTTGTCGTCAATGATGAAGAGTCCCCTGAGAGAGATTGAAGCACGACTCGCTGTTAGTTGTTTACTGTTAACCTCTATATGGTTGCATATTTGTTATGTAGAAGCATCTAATGTGATTCATATAATAAATGTTGGAGGAAGACACATTGATGCCACACAAACTGTTTCTTTCATGGCTGCTTTTACAACTTATCGCTTTTGTTCACTCCTAAAGCACCTCAGAGTGGCGTAACAGTGTTACATAACAGGACATGTTTCATCAAATTGATCACCTATAAACCTTTGACAATGGTCATAAATGTAAATGTGAAACTGCACCTCAGTGTGTGTCCCTGGTCCTCCAGGTAGACCCCGTAGTCTTTTGAAATCTGGTGAGTGAGGTCTGACAACAGAGGGATCTTCATTGGTCCAAGTCCACCCTGCTTTCTCGCCGTATTGATCCTTGTATTAACAACAAATGTGAGAGAAAAGCAAAGATTTTAAAATAGAGCTCTAAAGCACGACATAATCAACCAAAAATAAACAATCAATGAAGGTAAAAGATAAAAAAGCAACTAAACCCCTAAAATGAATGTTTTGAAATGTTAGTAGTAGCATCTACTATTGGATGTCCTATTATTAGGTTTTTACTTTGAGTCTGATAGCATTTTGTGGGTGCAGTGGGGACCGCAGTCTTACCAGGCAAGGTGGGTGAACTGGGAGTCAACAGAGCAGGCGACCACCTCTGTATTGATGGCCCGAAACTCATGCACACGGTCGCTGAATGCAATGATCTCAGTGGGGCAGACAAATGTGCTGCAAATGACAGAACCAACACATTTACATAAGAATATCCTCTGCGGTGCAGCGATCCCAGCAACACAAATGAAGTGATTATGTAATGTGTGCTTCAGATGTTACTCACAAATCCAGAGGATAGAAGAAAAAGACAATATATTTCCCTTTGTAGTCTGACAGCTTCAGCTCCTTGAATTCACCGTTAATGACGGCTGTTCCCTCCCAGTGTGGTGCAGGCTTGGAAACTGAAGAAGGAATAAAAATACATGGATTGATAAAACCATTAAATGTGTTTTGTGGCTGCAAATGACTAAATGTCAGATATGTGTTTTAGCAAAAATGTGCAGGGATTCAAAGTGAAATGACAGTAGTGCTTCAGCGTTTTAGGAGAGACATAATCTTACATATACACTTTTAAAGGAGCAGATTTAACACCAATATATGTTTTGAGGTTTTTAAATGTTTACATCTAAATTGAACTGTACAGTATTATTATCAGAGGTACTTTTAATTTTACTTCCATATCTAATATTTGTTGTCTATACAATGTGCGAATTTTAACCTACATTATGTCTCATAATACCACGAGTTTGATTGATGCCTCTGTTTCTGTTATTTTGTCCAACCCTCTAGGGTTATTATGAGCAGTGTTGGTGCTGGGCCAGATAACGTCACGTGTCTAAGGGGCGGAGGGGGGAACTCATAGAATGACGTGTCCTACAAAAAAACCCTCTGATTAAAAGTTTACTGACCTCTTTAACTGTCAATGGAGAATTAAACCACAAGGCAATCAAATATAAACACAAGACTGCAGACACACACTGTCAGTTTGTTTCTATTGTCCTGGCAGCAGGAGCACTGCACTGAAACTGCTGCAGCAGCTGTTTGTCAGCCAGGGGAAGGAAAGCAAACTGCTGCACTTGCACTGCACAAATACTAACATGTCACCTGTGGAGGAAATCATGGGAGAAACTCGTTCTTGGCTTTGCTGAAAGAGACAGGCTGTGAAACTGGAGTAGGAAGAATGTATGCATCCATGATGGGTTTGGTTGCTGCAAATGACTAAATGTCACATACGTACTTCAGCAAACATTTGCGGGGATTGAAATAAATATTTAAGTAGTGCTTTAACTTTTAAATGGCACACTGAGACTTTTAGAGGTGCTGATTTAACTTGCATTTCTATTTTGAGTCCATGATGTTGTGTAGTGTGTATCTAAAGTTCAGATACAGATTCTAAACAATGCAATTCTCACAGGTAGTTTAAAGGTTTCACCTTACTTCCAGCTCTAATATCTGGAATCTCTATAATGTGCATTTTCACATTTTGTTCTATGTCCCATGTCCCAGATCCAGGTTTCAAGGCTTGTATTCTACTATTTACTACTTTGTGCTCTGTTTTCATTTTCTTATACATACATTTGCTTGTTGAAATGTCTTTTCTCTTTGTTTATATATTTTTCTTTAACACACATGCCCCATATGCACAGTCTATGGAGATGGTAACAAAGCATTTTAACTGCACACTGATTGCGATAAATAAATATTTGAATCTTTATTGCCAGTGCAGTTTTCCTAGAACAAACAATGTCATCATTATATCTATGACTTTTCTTATCCTGCTGTATGCATGACATCATTTTGAAATGTTGGATGTCAATCAGCCCATGCTGGTGCAGAAGTGGGTACTGTGGCGTGGGGGTAAAGTCTCAGAACTCAT